AAAAAAAAAAAAAAAAGTTCAAAAATTATCATTATCTGTACTGGGACTGTGACTCAGTGGTAGAGCACTTGCCTTGCATGTACAGGCCCTGGGGCCTGTTCACTGTCAAGTACCACAAAAATAAGTAAATAAATAAAATTTCACATTTCTTTTTCTATTGCTATTATCTGTTTCATTTATCATTATTACACTATGAGTAACTTTATACCTTTAAATCTGACAACTCAGATAAAATGCAAACACTTCTTAAAAGACATGTTACTTAAATTGACAGGAGAAATATAAAATCTGAATAGCCTCGATAGAAAAGAAATTAAATGCATAATTAAAAACCTTCCCACAAAGTCCAAGCCCAAATGGCTTTCTTGTGAATTCAATCAAACATTTAGGGGAAAATTTGTATCAATCCTATACAAATCCCTTCAGAAAATAGAGGAGAAATCATTTTCCAACTCATTTTCCTCATATACAAAAGCAGAGAAAGGCTTTATAAGAAAACTAAAGACCAAATTACCTTTAGAGACATATAGTAGAAGCAATGTATCTTAACCAATTTTTAGCAATCAACTCAGTAAGTCATGCAGCCCTATTGAAAACAAGCAAACATTTGAACAGACACTTCACAGAAGAATTATATAAATGGCCAAGAAACATGCACAGTGATTAAAATTATAACATTTGACAGTAGCAAGTGTTAGCAAGGATGTGGAGCTCTGGAACCCTCATACATTGTTGATGGGAAGGTAGAATAGTACCACTACCTTGGAAGGCAACTGGGCAGTTTCTCTAAGAGTTAAACACTCGTTACCACCTGCTCATTAATCCCACTTTCTGGCATCTGTCCAAGAGGCAGGAGAATGTCTTCGCACAGAAACCTGCACACACACCAACATTCACACACAATCACCAACAGCTGGAAGCAACTCCAGTGTCCATTGACAGGTGAATGGGTAAACAAATTGTAGTATAACATGAGACTGGACCACTACTCGGCAATAAAAACAAACAGCTCCCACACACAACCACAAGGATGGCTCACAGAGTCCTGCTGAGCTCCAGAAGGATGAGTGACAGCCAATCTAAACTTTACAAAGATAACCAAGTTGAGGGGAAGAGGGTGGGTGTGGATGGGTGTGACTAGAGGACGAAAGGGTTCTCTCCAGGAGCTGTTCAAATAGTTGCAAGCAGGAGAAAACGAGGGGGGCTACAGTAAAAAATCTAGAGCTAAGCAGAGGCAAAAATAAGGATCAACCCAGTGCCAGGAGTGGGGTTCTCTGCCTGGACGAGAAGATGGGAAGGCTGGGGAAGGCTTCATAGATTGAGGTACTGCATGGCCGAATCCATTCTCTCTTCTTCCACAAAGAGACCCCAGGTTCTCTTTAGTAAACAGTCTCCCTCCCACTCTGTCCTTGTAGTTCACGAAGGGTTCTACCCCCAGCCTAAGCCAATCAACAGCCTGGGCTTTGTGACTGTTTATATGTCATGCATATTTATGACTGTTTCAGGAGTGGTTGTGTGATCAGGCCTGGCCATCTGTACAACCCTATTGGAGGCAGAGATTGCTTCCAGAATGAACATTTGGTCCAATCAGAGTGAACCCCAGGGAGTGGAGCAGAAGGTATAAGACGTTAGGAAGAGATGCTTTCATTCCGCTGGACTCGAACCCAGAAATGATAACTCTGGAGCAGCCAGGAGCCAGTGTGTAGGGAGGGCTGCGCCAGAGTGAAGCAAACCAGAGACAGGCCAGCCTGCAAGGTGAGGAGAGGCCAGGTCCCAGGGACACAGAAGAGCCCCTGTGCTTTGTGTAAGCCTATTGAAAAGGTCTTTTATTTATTGAGGCCACCAGCGACAGAAAGACCTGACTACTCAGTCAGAAGGACAGGGTGGGTACAGAGGTACACAGGGACACATGAAACTCGGGGCCCTGCAGTGACCAGGCCATGGCCAAAGGACAGTGCCCAGAGGACTTCATGCATCGATGTAAGAAAAGTGAGAGGCCTAGGGGCCCGGGAAGGCCAAGGAGCTCGTGGAGGCGTCCTGGGGTAAAGGCTGATGAAAGAGTGACTAGCCAGCCCAGCGGGGGAGCCAGCTCCGCCCTAGGGTCAGGTTGAGCAAGACAGAAGGGCAGCCAGTGGATTTGGAAACTTGGCATCACATCGGTGACCTTCTGCCCAACTGCTCTGGGGGTGGCGGGCCAGGAGCCAGGCCCTGGGCGGAAATAGGACCCAAAGGTGAAGGTGGGAGCGTCCACGTGTCTTTCAAACCTGACGTGGGAGGGAAGGAGGTTTTATTTTTTTCCTTTTAGGTGTTTTTAAAACAGCAGGGAGTTGAGCAGGCTTGTCTGGGGGAGAGAGAGAGAACGGGAAGGAGGCAACGGCATCACTGTGGAGACGTCTGCTGCGGAGACGCAGCCTGTGTATTTTGATGCATGAACCAGCGTGCGGCAGGTTCCAGGTTCCGTCAGCCCCTGAGGCCTCCAGTCTTTGGAGGTTGTGCACCAGCCAAGCTCAGCAAGAAAGCAGAACCTTTATGGAACAAGGGGCACGTGTGTCTGGGGACTGTGCCTTGCACTGCTGAGGGAGGGGTGAGAGGTAAAGTCCTAAAGGTCGTCACCTCCCAGGTATGGATGGACAAGGAAACCACAGGAGGGCAGGTGGCCAGGGTGGATGTCTTTGCAAAGTCCATTGGCTTTTTCTTTTGTCCTGGGGATTGAAGCCAAGTCCTTCACACTGCTCTACACCTGCAGCCCATTTTTATTATTTATTTAGAGACACTAAGTCACTCAATTGGTCTAAGTCACTGAGTTGGTTACTAAGTTGGCCTGGCTGAGCTTGAACTTCCAACGCTCCCTCCTGCCTCGGCCTTCCACAGTTATAGGAGTACAGGTCTGTGTCACCAAGCTCACTGGCTCTTTGTGCCTTTTGTGGGTTTGCAGTACAGGGCCTGGGGTGGCCCTGGGTCCTCAAGGCCATGGGTAGAGTGGAGTTGCCGCATGGGAGAGAACAAGGCCACAATGGCCACGCTACCTGGCCACGCTGCCCTTCCCCCGCGTTTCCCGTAGCTTCGAGGCAAAGACAGCCTGCAAAGTGTCTGCCGGCCACCTTTGACGCGTAAGCTCATCCCAAAACCTTCTCTTTCGGCAACTCTACCCCGGAACAGGAGTGACACGGTTCTTACGGTCTCCAATCAAACCAGCTGCCCCAGGGAAATGCGATGCCAGTCAGGTGGAGGATCTGAAATCTTGAAGTCCTGTTTTAAAAGTGGGGAAAAGAAATGGAAAATTTATAAATATATTTGCTGGGGATCAAACCCCAGGCCTTTGCACTGAGCTACATCCCCAGAGCTTTTTATTTTATTTGAGACAGAATCTCACGAAGTTACTTAGTTGGGCTTGAACTTACAATCCTCCTGCCTCTGGAGCCAAACCACCAACTATACCCCTGGGGAGAGTGTTTGGTCAGACGCAGTAGGAGGTGTCCTCGACCCAAGACCCCACCCCCCAGGTCCCTAACCTTTACCCTAAAGGCCGCTGTACAAGCCACACCTTCAGCTCAGAGGGTCAGGGGCAAGTCAGTATCAGGGTGGAACTTTTGGAGTGGGTCAGGATGAGTCCGGTTCAGGGACTCTGGAGGACGAGGGGCGGAGATAGAGGAGAGACTGTTACAGGACGGGGTGGCTGCAGGGCCTGTGGGCTCCACGTGGCCAGGAAGCAGCAGCTCGGGAAGAGGAGGTCGGGTGGCTTGTGGGCAGCCCTGTCAGCAGCGACACACTGTCTCAGTGACAGATTTCTGGTGTGAGATGGCGTGGCTCTGTCCTTTCTTCCCTTGAGGATGCCTGTGGGCCAAGGGGAAGTTAGTTAAGTCTGTGTGGCCGCGACATTTGGTGGGCTTCTCCTGGGGCTTCCTTGGTGCCCTGGAGACCCGTGGGGGGCACTTGCAAGGGGCCAGAGGGCCATCTGTTTGTCCCTTGTCTGGGCTCCAGCAGCCTGGCTCTGTTTGCTAAACACGAAGATGAGATTAGGCAACTCTGCAAACAGAACCAAGGTCCTGGCCAGCTGCCCAGGGTGTTTAAAGTCCCGGGCACCGAGGCAGGCAATGTGCACGTGGCCAGGCAGCTCAGAGCTGGCCGGGCGGACGCAGGCGCAGGCGCAGAGCAGGAGGCCTCTGCTGGACTCCGGCTGGAAGGTGCCCTTGGCTGGTCGGGCCCAGCCACCTCAACACAGGCATCAGTGGATGCAAACTTGAGCCAGCTGATTCCAGACGTAGCATCAGTTATGCTCAGAATAGCCGAGGGATTAGGAGACACTGGGGACCACCTACTCACTCTCTAGAGGCTCCCATGCAGACCCAAAGTTAATCTAGCGATCACACCCAGAGAGCGCTCACAAATGATGGGAGAATGTCTGCAGCTATTAGTGCTCTATCTTAATCAATCATCATATTTGTTAAATGTCAATAGACAGAAAACAGGGATGGTAACCCACTGTATACAAACTTCCCCAGGAGTAGCTAGTGCCATCGTAAACACAAAATAAGTACTTAGCAAAGGGAACTGGCAGGCTTAGCTCCAGCTCACTTCTGCCTCCATAGGCTACTGTGGGATCAAAAGGCCAGGCTGAAAGCCCTTTAGGTTTTCTACATGGAACTCCGGAAACATGTACCTAGAAGACAAATAAAGGGGAGCCGGAAGTAGAGTACACTGAATGGAGTTTGTTAAATGCTGTCTCATGCCTTCTGTGTTTGCTTTTATTTGTGGTTTATCTTTCTTTTCCTGCCCACCTCTGTCATCCAGTTACCAAGTCCCCTTCCCTGACTTCTTATGTATTTTTCCAGAAATACACACACGTGTGTGTACACATGCACACACACACAGATAGATACACATACATGCAGACAGACATACACACACAGACACACGTACACACAGTCCCACACACAGGCACTTTATATTTATGTAGGCAAGTACACATACATCTATATATTCTCCCTTCTTTTTCTTTTTTTTTAAATTTTAGCTTACTGCTTCTTTGTTTTTTTCCCTGAACAGTATTCCTTGGAAGTCATTGCATATCAGCACATAAATAGTTTTCCAATTTTCCTGGCTCGTGCACAGTTTCCATTGCACAGATAAACTGTATTTATGTTACCATGCCCTACCAGCGGTCACTGAAGTCAATTCCAGGCTTCTTGCTGTCACAAACAAAGCTGCAATGAGTCACAGGACACAGGCTCCATTCTGCAATCTATCGGCTAAAGTCCTGGAAGAGGCATTGCTCAATCCTTTTCGCATTTGTAATTTTGGTAAATATTGTCTAGTTTCCTCGTGTGGCGGCCTCACCAATGCCCCTTGCCCCTGGAAATGGTGGCCCATGTGTTTCCTCACACCCTTCTCAGGAACATGTTTTAACAGCTTTTTGATCTTTGCTAATGTGGGGAAAATGAGTATCTTAGCGGATGTGCAGTTCTTGGATGGGAAATCATGGTTAAGAGCCGCTGCAGTTTCGCTGTGGTTTGTCTCCCAAGGATTCATGCGTCCGAGGCTCAGTCTTCAGGGTGACAGTGGTGAACTGGGACCTGTTGAAGGTGGGCCTCACCCGGTGTGCTGCACGGGCCTGTCCCCCCAGCACTCTGGGAGGCTGAGGCCCAAGGATCATGAGTTCCTGTCTAGCCTGGGCAACTTAGTGAGACCCTGTTTCACAATAAAAATGTTTTTTCAAAAAGGGCTGGGGTTGTGGTTCGATGTGAAACCCCTAGGTTCAACCCCCAGTACTACACACACACACACACACACACACACACACACACACACACACACACACACGGGTGCCTAATGTGAAGTCCTTAGATCACTCAGGATGACAGGTCTTTACAAGGGATTGGCGTAGTTCTCATGGGAACCCAAAGTTAGTTCTTGGCCTCAGACTTGCAGTGATCCTCCTGCCTCAGCCTCCTGAGTGCTGGGATTACAGGTGCAAGCCACCATGCTTGGCAAGAGTGAGTTGTTATGGAAGCCAGGGCCTGACCCTGAGCCTCTCCTGGCTTTCTGCCTGCTGAGATGACCCTCCCCCACGATGCCCTCTGTCCTTAGGCCTCACCAAAGGTGGTGTCAGTGTGGTGCCTGATCTTGGACTGTCAGCCTTCTCAGTGTGTGTTGCATAAACCTCTGCTCTTCATAAGTACCCCACTTCAGGTATGTTGTTACAGTACTGAAAAACAGACGAATACAAGAACCATTTCCTTTTTTGTAAACCAATTGCTTCAAATATTTTTTATCCCTATCTGTTATTTTCAGAGATCTCTGAATGTTACAATCCTCATATATGGGAAAGTTCATACAAGCAGCACTCTTGGCCCCACCTCTTATGGTGGGGCAGCTTCCCATGACCCACTCAAGTTCCTTGGGAAAAAGACACGGAGAAGCAGGCGCACACAGAGTTGCAAAGACTGTGAGGATGCTGCCCAAGCTGTCCCCGCCCGTCCTCAGGAGGCCTGGTTGCAAAGCAGGGGCCATGGCTCAGGCCAACACCGCCCTGGGAAATGACCCCCACCCCTGCGTCTCCTGCTATCCTTCGGGCCAATGTCCTGCTCATGCCGCCTCTGCTTCCCACTCAAGGACGTTGTCCTGCAGCTGTTCACTCACTGTCCCTCACTGAGAAGGCCCTTCCCTCTCTGGGCATCCCCAGCAGCACATGAGCTGCCTTGCTGCTCCCATTCTTACCCCGCCTCTGACCCCAGGCCCCACCCAGCCTCTGCTTGGTCCTCTGCCCTCTTAAGGAAAATTTCCCAAAAGATAGAGGTTTCTGTCCACCTCCTCTTCTTAGATTCTGCCTCTTTTTTCTTCTTGGTGATTCTGGGGATTAAACCTAGAGCCTTCACACTGAGCTACACCCCTAGCCCTTTTTTATTTTAAGACAGGATCTTGTTACATCATTGAAGTTGCCTGGGCAGGGCTTGAACTTGCAATCCTCCTGCCTCAGCCTCCCAGAGTGCTGGGATTATAGTCCTGCACCACCACACCTGGCGTCTCTTTTTCAAGCCAACTCTCTCTGTATTGATTTGTTATGTCTGCGGTTCAGCCAGGGTCTCAGAGAGGCGTGCTAAAATCCCCAGTGATGAGCAGGGCATTCTAGGTTCTTTAGCTCTGTCAGTGTTTTTGCTACATGTATCAAAGCTGGGCCCGTACATATTTAGGACTTTTACTTCTTCTTGAGCAATGGGCTTTCTCATTAGGAAATGCCTCTCTCGCTCTCTGGTAATAGTCTTTGTCCTGAGTACGCTTAATCGATGTTAATCTAGCCCCATCTGCATTCTTGGGACTCAGGTTTGTGTGGCACACCTCCCCTCAGTCTTTTACTTTCCTCTAGTTGGTGTCCGTATGCTGCATGCATAGCACATAGCTGGGTCTTCTCCTTGCATCCAGTTCAGCGCTGTCTGGCTTTTATGTGGATTGCTTATCCTGCTTGCTTTCAGTGCAATTGCCAATGTGGTTGGCCTTAAGTCTACCATTTTTCTCTGCGTCCTCTATTTGTACCATCTGTTCTTTACTCCTTTTCTTTCCTATTTTGGGTTGAGTGTGTTTCAGAATTTTTTTTATCCTCATCCCCTATCTTTATAATACTAGGCCTTGAACCCAGTTGCATGCTGGGCAAGTGCTCTACCACTGAGCTACAGCCATAGGCTGTATTTTATTTTTTAATTTAATTTAATTTTATTTTATTTGGTCTTTTTAAGACAGGGTCTCACTATACAGTTCAGGCTAGTCTTGAACTCACTTTGTAGCCCAGGCTGGTCTCAAACTCAAAACAATCCTCCTGCCTCAGCCTCCTGAGTGCTGGGATTACTGGTGTGTGCCACCACACCCAGCATAGGCTGTATTTTAAAGTTTGAAACAAATTTTCCCTACTCTGCTCAGGCTGACCTCAAACTTGTGATACTCCAGCCTCAGATTCCCCAATACCTGAGATTACAGGGATGTGCCATCATGCCTAGCTACTTCTTGGCTTTAAAAATATATAGAGGGAGACTTTATTTCCCAGAGTAGTTGTAGGTTCTTAGCAATACTGAGTGGAAAGTGCAGAGACTGCCTGTGCGCTGTCTGCCTCCAACCCACTCACAACCTCCCCCGTTATTGGCATCCTGTATGAGAGCCACTAGCCATCTGCTGGAGAGACTGAGGCAGAAGGAACCTCAGGGCTTTGAGGCCAGTTTGAGCCCAGGAGTTTGAGGCCAGCTTGGGCAACAGAGTGTGCCCCAGTTTCAAAAAAAATTTGTATTCATATAACAATGGAACATTTATCACAGTCAGCAAATGCACATTGGTACATCATTATATCTCTTGGGTTTTGTTATTACTTGTTTGTTTAGTCTGCTCTAGAGATCCCAATATTCAGTCTTAGCTTATCATAGTCCACCTGGAATTACTTGTATACACCTTTCCTTCTGTTATGGTTTGTATCTAGAGATCCCTCAAAGTATCACATCGTCATAAGTGGGGCTTTTTGGAGGTGGCTGGATTAGGGTATGTGAATGTGGATTAAGGTTGTGTGGTAACTAAATTGGTTGAATATAGTTCTGGGTGTGTGTAATGGAAGCCCCACCCTGGGTGTGGGTGGCACCAGTCAATAGGTTTATAGCCTGGATAGAATACAAAGGGACAAATGGAAGGCAGGCTACTGCCGCTGCTGTTGCTGTTGCTGCTGTTGCTGCTGCTCTCTGCCCTCTGCCTGCCTGCCACGGACTGTTTCTCCTCTGCCATGCCTCTCTGCCATGTTACCCTACCTTGGATCCAGCTGACTCTGGACTGAAACTTCTAAAAACTAAGAGCTAAATAAACCCTTCCTCCCTTAACTCATAGGTGTCAGGTATTATGTCTCAGGGACAAGAAAAGTAACTAATGTACCTTCTCTTTGTGATATTGTCAGATACTATATTTCTACCTTTTAAATGAACATTACCATATGTTATTATTTTTGCTGTAACCAGTAGTTTTCTAAATAAATTTTTTGCAAGTGTGCGTATTCCTGGTGCTCTTTATTCCTTATTGAGGTTCTAAGATTCCCCTGAGCTACTTCTTAAGCCTGAAAAAATGTACTTGTTCAGTACTTGTAGAGAATTTATGCTGGCAACAAATATCACACTTGGGGGCTGGGGATTTACCTCAGCGGCAAAAGCGCCTGCCTGGCAAGTGCAAGGTCGTGAGTTCGGTTCCCGGTACCAGAGAAAAACCAAAAAAACAAACAAACAAAAAAAAAACAAATATCACAGTTTTTGCTTTCCTGAATATGCTTTTATTTTACCTGGAGTTTGCAAAGGGTTTTCACTGGATTAAGAATTCTAGGCTGGAAATTTTTCTTTCTTCACTTAAAAATGTCACCTCTTATTTTTTTAGTTTCTAACATGTCTAATGAAAAGTCTCCAGAGTTTTTATTTTTGCTCTTTTGGATATGATGTATCATTTTTTTCTCTGGTTGATCTTCACGAATGTCTGCTTTCTCTGTGGTTTTTAGCTGTTTGCTATAATGGCTCAGGGATGGTATTTTAGCGCTTGTCCTGTTTGGCATGTGGTATACTCTTGAATCTATGGGTTGACATCTTTCATGCATTTTGGAAAATGGCCATTATCTCTTCTAATATATTCTTTGTCCTAGTCTCTCTTCCTGCATTCTGTCACCCAACTAAAACTATATTGGCTCACTTAATATTATCCCATGGATCCTGAGTACTTTGTTGTGTCTTATTTGATTTTCTCTTTCTTTCATGTGCTTCAGCTTTTGTAATTTCTATTGCCCTGTCTCTGCAGTCACAGATCCTTTCTTCCACCATGTCTCATGTGATATTAATCACTTCCAAGAATTCATTTCACAGTGTGCATTTCAGTTCTAGAATGCTTTCAGTTCTATAATAAATTTCTCCATCTGTTTACATAGTTTGTCTACCCTTTCCACTAAATCCTTTAGCATAATTATATATTTTAAAGACTTTGTCTGCTAACCCTAACATCTGGATTATATGAAATTTGCTGCCATTGATTGGTTTCCTGTCTTGTGTATGGGTCACATTTCTCTATGTGTCTGATAACTGTGTTATTATCCACTAGACATATTGAACATTGTGGGCACTACTCTGGATTATGATATGGTCCCCTAAAGAGTGTAGAAGCTTTTATTTTTCTGGCACACAGTTAAATAACTGGTGGGTTAGCTTCATTTTAAGGATCAATTTTAGACTTGGTTAGAGTGGTTTTATTTCAGTTTGATGTACTGTCTAGAAGGAAGCCCTTACTCCTAGGGTATTACTTCTAAATCCTTTCTAGATCTTTCTGGTTCCCTGTTTTTGTTACCTGTGCCACAAATTCTAGCTGACGTGGCAGCTGCACACTCTGAGCTCTTTTCTGCATCTGGGAGACTGTGGCTTTCTGCTTGGACTCCTTCTCCTTCTCAGACATTGTCCCCAGGCAGAAAGCTACAGTGATGAGTGCGGAGTGCCTCCTAGGGTGTTTCTCTTCTGTTAAACACCGTAACCTCACATAGTTGTTTCACAAATTTTACCCTTTTTTTCAATGGTACCAAAGTTTATTTGAAAAAGTAAAAGGGAGGGAGAAACTGGCTGTGCAGAGCTAGCTTGGGCTGAGGAAAAGAAGAAAAGTCAAGATAAAGTCTACCCTGGAGGACACAGAGCCAGCTGTCACGAGGAAAGCCACTTTCATAATTATTTTATGACAGGCAGATCAGTCCAGTACCAGCTACTTTACTATGAACAAAATAAAAAATTTCTCCTCTGTTCCTTTTCCAGTTAAGGTTTTATCCCCATAGTTCCAGCTTTTCCAAGATCATCAGTGACCTTGGAGTTGCCAGCTCTGGTTCTCATTAGAAGGCCTCATCTCACCTGATTTCCCTCCTACTGATTCGCTTCCACGCCTCTCTAGTCTCCACCTTCCTTGCCTTCAGCTGTCGGAGAGCCTCAGAGTTCCCTAGCAGATCCCTCCCTGGTGAGCCACAGCCTCATGGCCTTAAAGACTACACCTCTATGGGTTTTAAAACGTTACCTCTGGCCCAGCTCTCTACCCTGAAACCCAGCCTCGGAGCTCCAACAACCTTCTCAACATCTCCGCTTGAAGTGAAGCATCCCAGACTTACCTCACCCCAAACCGAATGTTTCAGCTTTGTCCTTCACACCCTGCCTCTCCCTCAGCCTTGCCTGTTCTCCTGTGGCCTCATCCTCATAATTCCTTTTACTCGAGTTTCACATCCAACCCATTGGGAAATCTTGGCTCAGGCTTAGGAAGCCACCCACCAGCACCTCTGCCCTGGTCACGGTGGCCGCCTCCTTAGTTTCTTTGCTTCTGCCTTTGCCCCCTGCATCTGTCAGGGCCACAGCAGGGCACAGAGGAGCTGTGTCCAGGCAGACAGCATGCGACTGTGTGGTGGAGCCCAAGCGGGGGTTACAAGGGGTCAAGGACATCAGCAAGAGGTGGCAAAGCACCCCATGCCATCCCTCCCCAGGACAGGTGACAGTTACAGCTGCTGAAAGGACCACCTGATGGCAACTCCAGGGTCTGATAGAAAGTCAACTGCTGCCCAACTTCAGCCCAGGAGGGAGAGAGAGAGAGAGAGATAGAGAGATAGAGAGAGAAAGAGAGAGGTCCTGCCACCATTTCCCACTGGCAAAGCTGAACTGGGAGCCAGGGCTGGGGAACCCCCACGGATGCCATCCTTGAGGTCACCCATGAGGTCACCCACAGCTGCCACAGCTGGCGGAGGCCGGTGTCCCAGGGCAGAGCAGAGAGCAGAGTGGGGAAGGGAGAAGAACCCACAAGCAAGAAGACAACACCTCAAGCCCTACGAGTAGTCATGACAGTTCAGTCTGCTCACTTTATACATCTGTGACACAAAGGTGACAGTCGTACCTGGGGATCGCCGAGAAAATTAAATGCAATCTAGGGGCTTAGGACAATGCTTGGCAATATTGCGAGTTCCTAAGCAATAGCTGTGATTATTATTTTTACTTAGTATTTGAAGTGAATGCATGATCTTTCATCATTTCTTCTCTAAAGCCTTGTTATGAAGGCTCTGGGGTGGGGTTCGAGAACAGACAGACCACGGAGGACACGTACGGTGGGATAAACTGTGGAGGGCGCCGTCTCCAGGCCCCTCCTCCAGCCCAGAGGCTTCTGACTCACATGCCCACGGGCAGAGAGCCCAGGGGCAGGGAGAGCTGGTCGCACAGCTCTGTGGCAGGAGGTGTCCTGGCTCACACCGAATCCGGGCTGGCCCCCGACTTGCTTTAGGGTAGGGCAGAAGCTGCTCTGTACCAGTCTGGCCAAAGCCAGCAGGTGGCCCAGCACGCCCCACCCACGTCACTGGGGCATTGCGCACCTAGCCTGTGGGTGAGGCCTGGCGCAGGGGCCACATAGACAAGGAGAGGCCCTCAGGCCTTGTGGAGAAGGAGAGAGAGACGCAGTCACCCCAGCAAACCCAGCGAGCCCACTTTCTCTGTGTCTCCACAAGGTCTCCAGGCGTAGGCCTGAGCCATGGGGCGGCTCTTCCGCCCCCTGAGCCCCAGCTGATTACTGCAGCCGAGCTCAGGCACCCGTAGATCTCAAGAAGATAATCAAATGTTTTAAACTGTGAACTTCTGGGGTGATTGGTACAGGGACCATGATACCTGGACAGCTGGCCAGGGCTGGAGCCCAGGTGC